CTCGACCCATGTTGCCATTTAAGATTTTTGGCCCCCCTCGTGCCCCCCACCCTCCTTGAGGTTGGGAGGGCCGAAATGCCCCCTCAAAAGATAGCTTGTTTGAAAAATCGAATCACGTGTTTCGGCGATTTTTGAAAATTTAATTTTTTCAAAAGTCATTAGACCGTCCCGGTACTTTTGGCGGACCCTGTATATATTTTCAATGTTTGTCAATTAGAAATTCGTTTGTGGTTTTTGTTTTAAAATATTTTATTTTGTTTTCAAGATTAAAAATAGTTTGAAATAGTATCTAAGTTTAAAAAAATTCACTTGTGGGAATTTTTCAAGGAAAAGTAAACGACGAAGATACGTATCATTATGTTTTATTATTTGTAAATTTAATTAATTTCTTCTTATTTTTAGTTCTATTTTGTACAGATATTCGTCGATTTACCAGTTTTTCGAAATCCGGAATGCTTTTCCCTTTAACCTTCATGCAATCAAGCACTGCATTCATAATACTAGGCTCTATATTAATATTACTTGCCCACCTTCTAAGAGTTGAAAGCGCAGGGAGAGGCGTTTTCATAATGTTCCGCAAATATCGATATGCTCTCGGACTAACGCTTCTCAACGACAAAGCACTGGCTATGTCCTCGGAAGACCATGTCACGCGTTTTCTGGATGGATTCAGCAATGATCGAATTTGCCCTGGCGTGAAAACTTTGCTTAGTATGTCGTACATCTTTGCTTTGAACATTTCATGCTCCCGATTCTGTTGTTGCTTGTACTCTGCTAGCTTTTCCTTCAACGCGGTTATTTGCTGTTGATGATTGCCACTGAAAATATACGAGTACAATTAAATAAAACAAGTATATACAAATATTGCAAACATTACACTTAAAAAATAACAAGGTATTATCACTGACCTGTCCAATTTCTCTTTCTCATCGTACTTCTGTAACTTCTTTTTCATTTCTGCTAATTCCCATTGCAGATTTTGTCTAAAAGCATATAATAAAATTAAAAAATTACTATATAAATCTTGCCTCATAGTTTGTCAAGTAAATAAAATAGCATTGCGGGTTCAAATTAAAGAGTTTTTTACTCGCAATACAATTGAATAAGGATAGAGACAAAAACTATCCTAATCTTAACTATGTAGAACTTACATGGAATTGACATCATCAGCGCGGCTACATAGGTCCGTTGTAGCAGTTGACGTTATTGGTGTTGCATTAACAATACTATCCACTTCTGGTACATTGTCGATGTACAATGTATCTAACTCTTTAACGGCGATGAGTGATGGTATATTTGTCACAATCGGTGACTCGTTACATAAATATAACGTGGGAATTGCATCAGATCGCAATTTGCGTACTTTTACTGGAGAATACCCCAATAGTTGTTGTTGTAGGGATTTCTCAAAGCATGAAGATTCGAAGTGAATCGAACATATGCTCCCTGAACAAAACAGAATGTATGTCTTATATTCACGTTGGTTGTATCTATTAAACAATAATAATATATCACGAAATACTTTCGTAGTAACATGCCTTTAATAACGGAGTCGTCTTGTTTTGCACAAACATTATGCCACTTTGCAGCAATTGCGATGTCTTTCGGAAATGAAAAATATTGCACCTTTTTTCCAGGCATTTTATTCGTTTTCCGAGAATGGTTCGTGCATCCTTCCACTGCACAACAGCTCATTTTTTTTCTTCACAATAAATTCTCACTGCAGTATGTATAAATACAATAAACGGACGCTAAGCGACAGCCCTTTTTTTTTTTTTTACGTGGGAGGAGAAAATCTTCGTATACCCCTTCCCGAGGGGACCCTTTCGGGACACCCATCGGGAAGGGGAAGACCCCCGACGACCCGTACCGTCGAGAGTGCCGGATTCGACCATCTCGTGATCTCTGGGATACCATGTGTCCCAAGGACGCACCGAGACTGCCGCCTACCGACTAAAAACTTCCCCCCTTTTCGTACTCCCTCCAAGGTCTAAGGAGTGACGCCCCGGAACCGCAGTCTAGCATAACCTCAGGGCGTCACCCACACCTACAAAGCATTTTGCCCTCTACCGCCGTGTCGGGTTTACCTACACCTTAAATTTAAAATTGGCCGACATGCCACATCGTCTTTCGTATTATTATTTATTTGCACTGTATTATATTTACACTATATACACTTTTCTTGCGTGAAGCAGGGGTCCACATAGGCACACATACGCCCCCGTGAGCCCGTGCACCACCGCGCCATCAACAGCGATTGTTACTCCTCGCTGTCCGACGTGTCCGCCTGAGGAACTAACGCGTCCCTAACGGGTGCCTGGATAATCCCCCGTTCCCGGGCGCGCTCATCCTCTTCCTTCTTCCTCATGACCCTCTCGCAGAAGGTCATGAAGACGGTCCAGTCGTTCTCCGAGAGCACGATGGCCCTCACCACCGCCCCATAGGTCCTATCGACCCCTACCATCTCCAGAATCTCTCCTCTCTGCTCTGCCCAGGCCGGACAGAACATGAGGGTGTGTATCGACGTATCCACTGCTGCGCGGCAGTAATCACAAATTGGGGAAACCCGTTTTCCTATCCTAAATAGATAGGACTCGAATACCCCATGTCCAGTCAAAACCTGGGTGGTGCGGTAAGTGAGAGCCCCGTGCCCCCTATATACCCACCTCTCCAGGTGTTCCGCCACCGCGCCACGCACCATCGCTCCTGGGCCGCTCGCAGGCAACTGCTCGAGTCGCTCACGCCATCTCAGCAGCGAACGCTGACGCTCGACTTTTATTATGTTGTCCCTTTCGCTCGGGAGCAACACCCCATTATCCGCGATAATCTGTCTTCGTCGGAGATACGACCTTCTCAGCCTATCCGCCTCAATGTCGAAGGGGACCATTCTTGACAGTATGGCCGCCGCGTCGTGAGATATCGTACGGTACCCTCTCACAATTCTCAATGCCAGCTGCCGCTGCAGTTTCCTGGCCTTATTGAGAATCCACCGATCCCCGGCCACGATGCTCGCCCATATCGGCGCCCCATACATTACGACCGCCATCGCCGCCGTCGCGTACATCTTTCTGCGCGTTTCTCCCGGCCCTTCGATGTTAGCGGTTATCCTGGCCAATGCCATCGCCATCCTCCATGCCTTAGGTATGACGAGTCGGAAGTGATCCCGAAAGGCCCACCGCGAATCCAGGGTCAAGCCCAGGTATTTCACGGCGGATCCGATCGGGACCACCCCCCCACCCATCCTCAGGGTCGCGTTTGCCGGAATCGCCTCCCTACTAAACACCGCGATCTCGGTCTTCGGTATCGAGACTCGAAGGCCCAATCTTTCTATCTCGCGGACCAGATATGCCGTCCCCAGCTCCGCTCTAATTGTCACCTCCTCGAGTGTGCCTGCCGTGACGACCAGCAGGGTATCGTCCGCATAACATATCGTCCTACATCCCACGGGGAGCCTGAGTCTTAGTATAGAGTCGTACCCTATGTTCCACAGGATTGGTCCTAGGACCGAACCCTGTGGAACCCCGCATGTGACTGCTTTCCGCTTATAGCAGTCCTTCCTATCGATGTACGACAAGTCCCTATCCGATAAATAGTCGTCGAGGATGACCCGGTACCTCCTTTTCCCTGAGCGCCTCCCTAATAGTCGGCCACGGGAGGGTGTTGAAGGCGTTCGCTATGTCTAGCGACACCGCCATCACCACCCCCCCCGTCTCGCAGGCCCTCGTCCACGCTCTCGCGCAACCTCCATATCGCATCCACAGTAGATCGATGTTTCCTGAATCCGAACTGGCTGTCCGCGATTCCTTCGGTCCGCTCTAAAAATGTACTTAGTCTATTTACAATTACGCGTTCCAGCATTTTCCCCGCCTCGCTCAATAAACATATCGGTCTATATGAGGACGGGGCTAAATCCGGCTTGCCTGGCTTTTTCAAAAGTACTAGCCGCGCGACTTTCCATTGCCGAGGAAAGTATCCCTCCTTGAGACATTCCGTGAGGCATTTCACCCAGAGAGGGATGAGCTGCCCTATCGTGCCTTTGACGACGCATCCGGATATGCCATCCGGTCCAGGAGCCTTTCCAACTTTCACGCCAACACAGGCCTCCATCACCTCTTCGTGTGTCACCGCGAGTTCGTCCCGCCATTCCGTTATCGTCCTGTTGTTTCGAGTCGTCGTTCCTTTTGGGAACAACGCCTCCACAATTTCATCCGCGACATCCGGTGGTAGAGTCTCAACAATGGAGGCACCGCCGGCCGACAGTTTTTTCGTGACCAGTCTGTAGGGCATTCCCCATGGGTCCCTATCTAGGTCGTTCACCAGCTCCTTCCATAATTTAGCTTTAGATATGCTTATGGCCCTCCTCAGCTCTCGTCTGGCCTCCTTTAAACCGTCCCACATTGTCCTGAGGTTTTCCGGACAAACGTGTCTTTTTGCCCTTGTTCTGGTGACTCTTCTTCTCCAGGAGTTGCATGTTCGTCGAAGCTCCGCAATTTCCTCGTTCCACCAGTATACTGATGGACGTCTAGAGGGACCCTTCCTTTTCATTGAGACATCCGAGATATCCCGCAGGATCTCGTCGATCCTTCCGGCGCTCCGGGTGCCCTCCTCCTGTATTCCGTCCCACGCCAGGAATACCGCTGCTGCCTCCATCATTTCCCGATTGATGCGCCGCGTGGCCCATCTCGGGAATCTCCTCATCACCATCCTTCCCGTCTCCATGTCCGTCAGCGAGGCTCCCACGTCCATTAAAATGTAACGATGATCCGATAGGGATTCCAACTCGGTCGCGACACGCCAGCCAGTGATCTTCCTGGCTGCGATTGGCGTTGCCATCGTGACATCCACGACAGATGTTCCACGGGAATGTACATACGTGGGCTCATATCCGCTGTTAATGAGTTGCAATCCCCTTATCCCCATCTAGCCCAGAAGGATATCACCCCTCCTGTTCGGCCGTCCCGAGTCCCAGGCCTGCGCTCTGGCGTTCAGGTCTCCAACCACTATTGTCGGATGATCCTTACGCAGCACATCCTGCAATTTTTCGTCCATTTCATCCAGGTCGTGAACAAACTCGTCGTGTCTGAGGCTGGAGGGAAAGTAGCACGAGACCACCGTCACGTCCCCCCAGTCCACAGCCACGAATCTCACTCCTCTGCACCGGGGTACGCACGGTATTCCGGCGCCACCCCAGTGCCAGGTTATCCCTGCGGACGGTGGTTCGTCCGCGGACACGAGCCACTTACCATTGTCTGATATGCGGGCAGGTTCCGCCACTGCGACCAATCCGACGCCCATTTCCTCAGAGACCTTTCCTATGAGGTCCTGAGAGGGCCTCGACCTGTTAACGTTTATCTGGGCTAACTTGGCCATTACTGGTTTCCATAGCCTCTGCCCTTGCAGACCCAGAAACCTGGGCCCCCCGATCGGTCCCCTCGTTCACGTCCACTGTTCCTGTCACACTGTGTTCTTCACTTCGCGGTAGCTGTCCCCTTCCGTTGTACGGTACGCACGACACTGATCCTGCCCTATGTCCCGCGTCCATTCCCCTCGCAGCACACACTGGGCATCTCGGCGCAGATCGACACCCAAATGCCTTATGTCCATCGCTTCCCCCGCACTGAAAGCACCATGCCGACCTGTCGACGGTGCTTAGGCAGTTGGCTCTAGTGTGCCCCACCGCAAGACACCGGAAGCACTGCAGCCTCCTCTTTGCTAGTGGGACAACTTTCGCCATTGTCCATCCAACTCTCAACTTGCCACTGCTGAGCAGCAGGTTCGCTCCCGACAGCGGGCACTGTACCCATATGGTGTTCAGTCCACCCCTGCCTTGTCTAGATGGGCCCGCTCTTATGCTTCCGACAGGCACTTTCCCGCACTCGGACACCGCCGCTATCACTTCCTCCACCGTGGCTGATTGATCCACGTCGACCAACCTGACCTCGGCTCGCTGCACGGGGCGAATAACGCTCACTTTATTTCCATACTCGCTCTCAACGATAACCGTTCTCAGGCGGTCGACAAGCGCCTCTGCCTTCGCACCCGCCTCTTCACCGCCCGGGATTTCGATCAACAAACCCCCAGCCTGGGCCTTTCGTATCCGAGTGTTGGATATCTCCAGCTCCTCCAAGGATATCCCATCCCTCGCCATTCTCATGACGTCTGCATACGTCGGCGTGGAGTTGCCTCCTGTTTCCTCAGTAGTACCGCTGCAGTCCTATGGGCTCGAAATCGCGAGTCCCCCCCCGCCAGTCGCGCCGATATTTTCCTTACTGTCCGGGTTGTAGCTCCAGTTCGTCCTCCTGGGACTTCGCCGGTTGCTGCCTTCACCGTCCTGCTTGGGTTTTTGTCCCTCCTAGGGCGGGGAACTTTTTCCGGCGCCGCCTCCCGCCGGCCTTCTGTTTCCGAGGCTATCTTCCCTCTCTCCTTCCTCCTAGCCCTTTTTAGTGCCTTCTTACTTTTGGCCTTCGTCCATGGTTCCCCTTCTGATGGGTAATCTCGTCCTGGGGATAGCGAGCTGTTTCTCCTATGCGTTTCCCCAGCTCTTACCGCCCTGCTACTGTTCCTTTGCTCCTCT